GCGCGCCTCGATTGGAATGATAGATGTAGCATCTCTCAGGATTAAAGAACAAACGGTTGTTGTGGGGCCCACGCTCTTCTCTCAATGCGTGGAGGTCCTGAAGCATGGGATGGTGTCCACTTCAGGGGCTCAAATGAGGGCTTCTGAAAGTCATCTCCATTTCCCGAACTCTACCTTGTGATCTTCTGAATGCAAGATCCATTATTCTGGGATGTGGGTGTAGCTATGCTGCACCGTTTGACTGTTTGGCTGGACGGACACACCATATCCTTGCTATTTGGGGTGCCCTGTCTGGAATGTGCCATAGTCTGGGTGGTTGTGAAGGAGCTTGGATTAAGTCAAGTCATTATTTTTAGGAAACCCCATTTTGTTTACAATGTATACCCTAAATCCTAAACCCTAATTCCCATATACATGTGGGTGGTTGTCAAAATTCTGGTCCCTTTTTGGATCTCTATTATAATACGGCCCCTAATATTTAGGGTACCCGAAAAGGGACCATAATTTTGACAACCACCCATATATATATATAAACATATAACCCTAAACCCTAAACCTTTATATCTAATCCTAAACCCTAATTCCTGTATACATGTAGTGGTAGCTTACCTCCAGTTCCTGAAAAGCTACCCGGTAGTTAGGGACAACCTGATGCCCGGAGCATCTTTGAGCTCTTAGCCCGATATTCCTTAAAGGGGTTAGATAGGGGATTGTTATATCAGGGTTTAGGGTTTCAGGGTTTCAGGGTTTAGGGTTTAGGGTTTCAGGGTTTCAGGTTTTAGGGTTTAGGGTTCTTACGAGGGATGCTAGGAGTTCAGACTGTAGCTCAAATGTAGGTCTTAGAATCCAAAGCTGCAGAACCTCAACGCTTACAGTACAGTTCGGTTCACAACTGCACGTGAACAGGAGTATTGCAGAAGATGCAGAGGACGCGTCTTTCAAAGCAAGTGATCCTGGTAATAGTCGTTCGTGTGTTCATCCTAAGTATCAGGGCTGCGGGATGGTAATGTGTCTTAGATTTTCACCAGAACGCCAACAGTGATAGGCACCCTCCAAGAAAGGCTGGATCAACGAGTCCACATAGAGCCTAGTGGGTTGATCTTCTGCATACTTCATGGCTCAAGTCTTTCAATGGGGCTCTGTTGCGAACACTGCTGAGCTTGGCAGTGGTCAAGCTGCCCAAATGTCTCAGCAGGTTCCAGTAAGTGGGCCCTCAATGTGAAGACGTGGAGTGGGGCAAAGGTTTCATTGCAAATCTGCAGCAACGACCTGCGTTGTCCCTTCCAAATCTCAATCTATACCTGGGGTCCCTTAGTGTACATGTGGTGGTTTCCCTAAATAGGGCACCCCAATATGGACCCTGAAATGCTTGAAAAGGCCCCTATAGGAAGGAGGCCAGTATGGGTTCTAGCATTTTTTGGGGGTATAAAGGCAAGACCCCAATGTTTTGAAACTCCCTTTTATTACATTGAGAAACAGAGTGGAGCTCTCTTTTGAGCTGCTCTCACGGTCTGGTCCTGAAGCAGGATGAACAATTAATTCAATACAGACTTCAGCAAGGACTGTCAAATTTGGGAGAGAAGTGGTGTCCATAGCGCGTGATGACATAGGGAAGTTTTTGAGCTTCATGATGCAGGCCTTGCGCTAACCCCTTGCTGGTGACTTCTTGCGAACATCCTGCAGGAAGAGGAGCAGCAATCGTTGCTGGAGGACCGGCTTTGTGATTGCTGTTGCCTTGCTCTGACAACCAGTGGACACGCAGGCACAACATTCTATTGGGAATATAATCTGTATATAATCCCAAAATAACATATTCCCTTATTCCCTATTAACCCCTGTATAACATAATCCCTTTTTCCCTACTACCCCCAGTAAGGTAAGGGTTCTGCCAGGGCAGCACACTCGGATACACTATTACAGAAGCTGGCATGCTAACCGCCGGCCATCTTGCTCGCAGCTGACTTTCGCCAAAACGTAGAGTCCCCCTTAAGTAGATAGAATATGGGGTATATGATTGGGGTTATATAGGGATAATGGAACGGAAAATGGAAACTACTATAATAGGGTATATATTGGGGTTATAGTACCCCTTAAGTA